AGTTTAGAATTGAAGCAGTGGTGATATAAGTGGACAGATTTATGACAAAGGATAATCAGTAAAACAAAAATGTTTAGATAAGAAACAGGTAATTCAGCCTTGCTTCACAGAAAAACACTCCGGCCCTTCCAGTATTATTTCAAATCTGTAAATTGACTCCAGGATAGACTTTTCTGCCAGGGAAAAAGAAAGTCCAATGTCAATGACACCTACTACTCATGATGCCAGCATGACCTTCCATTGTATATTCACAGGTCAGCTTTTCTACTAAGGCATCAGCTTCTTGTGTATTTGTTTATGATGAATTAACTCTCCAAGACGTGGTCACTTGCTGGGGCCATGCAGTTAACACAAGCTGAGTATGAAAGAACTGCCCCTTAGGCCTAGAGCAAGGACTCGGCTGAGGAGAACTGTTTGCAAGGTCAACAGTTTTACGAGTTCTGGACCTCACCTTCATTGTGTTACTGTACTGGCCTGCACTCAGTTTCTCTGCCATGGGCCTTATTGCCATACCCCTGTATCCCATAAAGGCACCCCCAGCCTTACTATAACTTTTACAATAATCCTGAAAGAATGCAGATCCACTAAGGCGACAGCTGTGTAGGGCGGCGGCTGCAAACAGGAGTTACTCCCATTAGACTCATCCCACCCTCCTGGAAAATGTCAATAAAGAATGCTACATTCACTTCTACTGGGGATTACTAATGGGCGAAGGATCTCAGTAGCCGAGAGGGGCTTAGCTGTAGACTACCCCAGAGATAACATAAGTATTTCACTTTAGTATATACTAACCTTGTCTTTACTAAACCAGACAGAATTTATTTCTAGGCTCTTGTAATTACTGCCACCCTAGCCTGAAGCTGAAGTTCTCAAAAGCTGACCTGAGGCTCAAAATTCTCAAGCCAATGTGGGACTAAAGTAATCAAGCTGGTCTGGGACTGAAAATTCCTGGAGACCCCCTCATCTGAAGACCCTCCCTGGTAATCAAGACCTAAGAAGAAGATGCACCCAAAAAATGGACTTCCTCGTTCTAAAAATTATGACTGTTTATACCTAAACAAAACGGACGTCATGTTTTATGATTATTGATCCTATACTTTGAATGCCTTACCTTTTAGAGCAAAATGTTTCACTTACTTCCCCTCACCCATCCCACTGCTGTAAAACTCCTTCTATAATAAATACGCATGACTTCTGGCCATCAGGGTTGCAGTCTGGAGTTTACTCTGGCTGTAGCCAGCTAAGAACATGCTAAGGGCATGAGGTCTTAGTCTGATTCCTGTTCACCCGCGTCGCCTCCCTGTACACCCACCCCGGCTGGGGGTATGGCTCCCGGCAGTCACTGATAGATGACTTCATAGAAATACACAGTTCTAGAGTTGAGAAAGTCCTTTTGGGACCATCTGTTGAATAGTTTGCACTCTGCATTTTGAACTTAGGCCCCATCAGGTCTTTGTAGGGTTAGCGGAAAGAATAATGCCTACCAAGATAATCCTTTTTTATAAAGGTAGGAACAAGCATCTTTAAACTCAATCTGAAAAGAGAGTAAGATGGTACAATCATACTGTATGCCTTGTCCCTTCCCTTAAGCTCCGGAGTCCTTAATTTTAATAAAGTATAAACAATTTACATCTTCCAGAACTAGGAAAATATCAGCACTAAAATGGCAAATTATTATTTGAAATCTTTTGAATGAAACTCAAAGGCACTTACATTGAAAATCAAAATTGTACACATTGATTTTTATCAGTTTAGCACCTGTAGATAAAAGGAACTGAACTGAAACTGGACATTCGCCACAGAACGTTAACACCCAAAGCCTTTTGTTGACTAATTCCGCCATCCAACCTTTGTAGGAGATGTGTCATGTTCTGCCTCAGAGGCATTAACAGTTTGTGAAAGACAATAAAGTGAATTGAGTTTATAATTCAAGATTTTGTGCTCGATGTTCAGGAAATTTGATCAAAATTGATTTTCACAGTGATCCAAAGAAGAAGACAGTATTAGTGCTACTTTAGAAATGATAGACACTGTACTTTATATTTGACTTAATGTTGCTGAACTTTAAAAAGTTGTGGCGATAATCTAAATTGTTTAATCTGCTAACAAAGAATAAAAAGGTCCTTATTCCTCCCTCTAAAATCCATCTTCTGTTGAATTTTCATTTTCAAGACTCCTATGAATTTGTTTCTTTGAAATTACTCTATTAAAATTTAATTTAACATTCCTAAAATTTTCTTTAAGTGACAGTAATGTTAATATCAATAACACCTTGTAGCGTAATAGATTAGAGATAAAAAATATTGCCTGAGGACTAAATCTCAAATTCCTACTGTGAAATAAGGATATAAACACAGCAATCAACATGTTTCAGAAGCACTGCATTTATTTAGACTTTGGTATCCACAATTAATATCACATCTAAAATAATTCAGACACATAAAATATTTTTTACCATAATTAAATTGGCATTTGCATAAACCATTTTTCTCTCTAGTTAATATTCTTTCCTTAAATTTTTCTTTCTAGTTAACATCCTTTCTTCATACTAGTGACAAAACACATCATTTATTTGAACAGCCACAACGTTTTGGCAACAACACATTCTCTCTTGTTTAACAGTAATACGATTTAGCAATTTTTGAGGATTACTGCTCAAATTAATTCACAAAAATCATACAGTTGCTATTTGCTAAACCCGATCTTTACCATGGATAAGAAGAAGGGGCTGCATTGATTTTTTTTCACAAACTTAGGTGTTAAAATGTAATTAATACAATATTAATTAATGATTTTAAATGAGGAGATACGAAGAATTTGAGCATCTTGATTTCAACTGGCCAACAGCTTTTGTTCAGAGCAAAATATTAATACTTGTTTTATCTACAAATATGTTAGCCCAGTGTGAGTGTCCTATACAGGTACCTGGCACACACCCCCTCCATAAGGCTGTGGTCAACTTCTCCTTGGTCTGAAACATTTTGTAGCTATTGTTTCCACTGATATAGGGCTGCAGGAGCTGGCACATTGTGAATGCAGCCTTGGCTTTCACCAGGAGTCTCAGACTCCAAAACCCCAGTGGTCTACTTGGGCATGTCCTCCTGAATGACTAACAGGTATCACCAACTTAAAGAAGACCAATAGCCAACTCGTGCTTTCTTCATCTCTCCACACCTGTTCTGGTTAGGAATTGGCACTGTCCTCTTCTTGGCTGGCCAGACCAAAAACTCGAGAATCATCCTTGAGTCTTCTTTCCATGACTCTTCCATCTAAGCCATCACCAAGTCTTTCTGCTCTGTCCTTTGCCTACTTTTCCCTTCTGGGTCATGAAGGTAGGTAACTAGAGATCACCCCTGCAGTCCAAAAGCTGCCCAAATTACTCGAACTAGCCAGTCCTAAACTCTTCCCCCCATCCTGCATTATCTTTCTCATGGAAACTCCAATAAAGGCTCCAGCCTAAGCCTCTTCTTGGGTCCTGTCTCCTGACCACCTGACGTCTTTCCATGCGGCCTTGTAAGGTAAGCAGTGTTGCCAGTCTCTAGGACTGCATGATTAACTCTGTCCTTCCCTAAGCCTCTCCTGTGGCCCCACCTGAGTGACCATCTCATAAAATAATACAGAATAGATAGTCCCAGGACCTGAAACAGTCCCCAGGGCTATGTAGTCACAGGTAAACACAGACAAGCACTCAGGAAAGGAGGAGTTCGAGGAAGAAGAAAGCCAGCCAATAATGGAGGTGATGGGAGATGGGGAGAAAGCAGGTAGTAAGAAATGAGTCAGAAGAAAGAATCTATAGTGAAAATAATACATCCCTGTGTGTGTGCACATGTGCATATATATATATATATATACACACACACACATATACACATATGTATTATTTATTTTAATTGCCAGAAGGCTCATGTCCATGCCACAGAGATAAGAGATAGAAAAATGCCCGAGAATAGGGAATGGTCACACCACAATCCCTTCTCCTCCATTTCTCCAACCTCTTGGGATTTGGGGCACACATGCACATGCGCCTGGTGTATTTTTCAAGCCATTAGGACTGGAATTTGAACTGTGGTCACCATTGGAATCCAAATAACCACTGGGTTATGAGGCTGGTACCCACTTTATATTTTTACTCCCTTAACCATGGGGCTGATACACACTTTAATATGCATTTTTCATTCATTCATTAATTCATTCATGTATGTATTTATATTGACATATAATCATTGTATGATTTTACAGCATACAATGTGAGTTCTCAAAGCATAAATGCATTGCATGTCAGGCAAGTCAAAGATATTACCATATATAATAACTTCCCATTCTTGGGTCTGCTAAATGTTTTTCTTTGTTTTTTTCCTGAGCTCCTCCCTCCCACCCCCAACTGTTCACCCTCTCCTAACAGTCTCTGGTAGCTACTCTTACTGTCTTTGCTATGATATCTTTCAGCCTTTCTTTTTCTGCCATAAAGTGCAGACGTTCCATCTACTGAATGGGGATATACAAAGTTTGTTTTTCACAGTCTGGCTTTCTTCACTTAGAATTAAATCTTCTATATTCATTCATTATGTGTCAAATGATAGATGGAAAGATCTCTCTATTCAAAGCATAACTACAATCCCTGGTTATAAATTTTCCTTTTTTTTTTTTTTCAATTTGCCAGAGGGTACGTGTGCTCACCAGACAGGGAGAGAGAAAGGAAGAGGGACAAAGCACATCCCAATGGAGCCCAGTCACAGCAAAATCTAGTCTCTATTTGTCCATCCTGTCAGGATTTGGGGTATGCACACCAACATGCCCAGTGTGGTTTTCAAGCCTTCAAGTTCTGAACTTACACTGTATGGTCAGTCATGCAGGATCCAACTCTCTCAACCACAGGCCATGGAACTAGCCCACAACGTGGATTCTAAAGCTCAGAGGAACCTCATGTGAACATCATCTGGCAGGTCTATGTGGGGACATGGCAGGGCGTGGGGGACAGGAATAAAGTGTTGCTCTTTATTTTTTTTTCAAAATCAGTTAGAAGCCACATGGAAAGTACCTGAAAAAAATGCTACTGAACTCAAGAGTGTGCAAGAGCGATAATTAATTATCTTATTTAAAACAGTATTTTTTTTTTGGCTTGGGTTTATGCATATGCATGAGAAACTGATTCTGCATAAGAAATCAGAAGGGAAATAGAGGAAATGCAAATATTGAGGGTAAAAAAATCCAATTACACAGAACACATGAGCATCAAAAAAGTTTTCTGAACAGAAGGATTTTAGAATACCTGTGCCTTCCCATATCTCGCTCGTGGACTCTGAGGGTATTTGCGTATTAGTTCTTCAAATGCTGTCACTGCTTCCTCGATCTTTCCCTGTTAGGAAGACACAATCACAAAACTACAGTCAATTCGATTATATAGTGTTATTCAGTATGGCTATTTAATATTAGCCCAGGGATTCTGTCAGAATTTCCTAGATTCCTTCTGAATTTCTTTTTTCCTTTTTTTTTTTTTTTTGCCGGGGTGAGCAAGTGGCATAGTGGTTATGGCTCTAGACTCACACATGTTCGACTGCAGTTCAAGTACTGGACCTGGCAGCTTGAAAATCATGCCAGGCATGTGTGCGTGGATGCCGAATCCCAGGAGGAAAAGGGACTACACACGTCCACCCCTCCTGGGGTGATTTCTCACTTTCTCTCTCTCTGCTTCTCTCTACTGTGAGTGCATGCACCACAAGGGGGTTAAAACAAAAACAAAAACAAAACAAAACAAAACCCACATTTTTTGCAAGATGTGGGGGTCCAGTACTTGAACCACGGGTCGGCCATGTGGGAGTCCAGTGCCTTAACCACCATGCCACCTGTTGGCCTCCTTCTTAGTTTTTAGGACAGCTTTATCTAAGATTTTTTATTGTTGCAGGACCAGCAGGTGGCATAATGGTTATGTCGCTGGGATCCCATTGTAGTTGACCATGGTTCGAGTCCCAGACCTGGCAGCTTAAAACATGCTGGGCACATGTGTGTGTGCGTGCCCAAGTTCCTAAGAGGAGAATGGAGGAGAAGGGACTGTAGCATGGCTACCCCCCAGGGGAGTGATTTCTTGCTTTCTGTTTCTCTGTCTCTGTCTCTGTCTCTCTCTAGTGAGTGCATGCACTGTCTAGAAAAATCTCTCTAAAAAAAGATTTATATTGTGGCAAATAAAACTAGAAATGAACATAAATGGCTAATATGTTTATGAAAAAAATGTTCAAAATCACTAATCATCACAGAAATGCAAATCAAAACCATAATGTGGCTACCATCTTACCCCAGTTAGAAAGGAGGTCATAAAAAGGACAAAGAGTTACAGAACTTGGTGAGAATGTCAATAAACAGGAATCCTTCCACACCGTTGGTGGAAATGTAAAGTAGTACAGCAACTAAAGAAGACAGAATGGAAGGTCCTCGAAAAACTAAGAGTAGAACTGCCACCTGATCCAGCAACATATTGAGTGTTTAAAAGACAAATTTCTGACAAACAATGTGTATTTTTAAAATAAATTGCATTTCTCCTCAATATATACAGTTCCTATATGCATTGTCAAAGAAGATATTTAAGTTCTAAGGTGGGGGATACTGCTGGCAGCTGGAATTATCTTGGGTCTTTGAGAGGCAATGAGATGTCTTATCACATTCTAAAGCATCTGTTAATGGAGCCAGCAGATGGCTTAATGGCTAAGTCACTGGACTCCACGCAGTCGACCGTGGTTCAAGTCCCAGACGCGGTGGCTTAAACTCACGCCAGCATTTGTGTGTGTACATGCCCAACATCCCGAGAGGAGGATGGAGGAGACGGGATTGTGGCGTGGCCATCCTCCCTGGGGGGTGATTTCTCACTTTCTGTCTCCCTGTCTCTCTCTGTCTTTCTGGTGAGCACATGTACCCTATAACAAAAACCTCTCCAAAAATAAATAAATAAATAAATGATCAGTTAAAAGGTAAAGAATAAACATGAAGGATGCGAGGGCCACATGAGGGCCACATGGTCATAGTATTCATTGTCCTCCCAAAGTCAGGGGGTCAGTCTAGCACATCTGGCTCAGCGAAGCATCTTATTGCCTTTGTCACATGACACCCCTCCCCAAAGCTCAAATGTATCTCTCTCTCCCTGACGAGTTCACACCAAATAAATAAATGAATCAAATCAGGAAAATTCAATAGGTTTCGAAGTCCAAGAATAATTCTCTTTGGCTCAAGTTTCTCCGCCTAGATCCCAGGCTCTGGCTAAAGTGCCCTTATCTCTGTCCTCTTGGTCTGAGGCCCTGTGCTTGGAATTATCCTTCCTCTTTCTTTCTTTTCTTTTTTTTTTTTTTCCGAGAGATTTTTGCCTTAGGTGTGTATGGTCACAAAAGAGAGAGAGAATGAAAGAGAAAGTGAAAAATCACCTCCCAGGGTGATGGCCACACCGCAATCTCTTCTCCATTCTCCTGGGATCTTGGACATGCATACACATGCACCTGCGATGATTTTCAAGCAACAGGGCTGGGACTAGATCTACAGTTGGCCAGGTGGGAGTCCAGTGATGTAACTGCTATGCCATCTGCTGGTACCTAATCCTTCCTTTTTAATTGAAAAGGTAGCACTGATTTGCAATTGATTAGTTTCATCAGCCTAAATGTTTGGGGAGTGTGTCAGCCTCCTTTCATTTTGTCCTTTCTTCCAGGTCAGAATGCCACTGCTTCCATTGCTTCTGCTGGTATCAGATCCTCAAAAGCCCATGGGTCTCTTAGGTCTGTACAAGGATTCACACCAATAGACAGGAAGTTACTCCACAGACCCTTGATATAGAATCTCATCTGTATTCCTGACTTCTGCTGAGATGGTTTAGTGGATCCAAGAATCACAGACCTAATCTCAGGAAAACGCTGACCAACCCTAGCCTTGGATGTCCCTCCAAATTATGAGGCCTTAACACTGATGCCTAATTTTAGCTCTTCTGCAATCTGGAAAATGTGAAGAAATTCCCAAATAATCAAGTGCTGGTTCTTTTTTTCTTCATGGTTTTCCCATTATCTCTTTCCTTTCGTATTTTATTACAATATAAGCAGCTGGAAGAACTGAACCACACTTTCAACAGTTTGCTTGGAAATCTCAGCTAAATATCAAAATTTATCACTTATAAATTGTGCTTCCAACATAACTACAAAAACACAATTCAGGTAAGTTTTCTGCCACTCTGTAACAAGGGTAACTTTTCCTCTGTATTCAATAATACATTCTTCATTTTCTTCTAGGCTCTTGTTAAAAGTGTCTTTATTTATTTTTTAATTTAATATATTCTTTATTTTTATTTATTACATTCATTCATCGTAAAGCATTAGAACATACAGAATGAATTTTCTCATCTAAAATACACTGTGTATTGGCTCTATCAAAGATACTACCATATATATTATCTTCAACAGGTAATTTTCCATTTTGTGTTTCTTAAATGTTCTGCTTCTTTCATTTTTCCCCTTGACTACCACCCTTTTACCCTCTGCCATTTCCCATTCTCCTCCCACATTGTCTCTGATAGCCACAGAATGTTTCTTGCAGTATTGTTCACAATTGCTAAGAATGGAACCAATGCAAATGTCCATGAACAGACAACTGGATTGAAAAAGTGTGACACATACAATAAAAAATACTACTACACCATAAAAAAAAAATATGAGACCCTAGCATTTGATAGAAAGTGGATAAATATGGAAGGTTTCCTACTAAGTTAAGCAAACTAGACCCTGAAAGAAAGCCAAAAGTGCCTTTAACATTCTTATTTCTATTTCTGTTCTATTAATGATACACGTATTCTCGAAGAGGATCAAAGCTCTCTCTGCCACATGACTTACTTCATCTGCGCTCTCACTAGACACACCTTTAATGTCCACATTTCTACCAACAGTTCAAGCCAATCCAGGGTTTTTCTATCAGGCACCTCAAAGTTCTTCAGTCTCTATACCTTACCCAATTCCAAAGCCATTTCCAAATGTTTAGGAATTTACAACAGCAGCACCCACTGGCCAGTACAGAAATCAGTATCAGTTTCCTATGGCTGCTGTAAAAAATTACTATAAATTTGATAGCTTAGACCAGGAGAAATGTGTTCTTACACAGTTATAAAGGACAGATGTCCAATATTAGTTTCGCTGGACTGAAATGAAGATGCCGTCAGGGCCATGCTCTGTTAGAGACTCTAGGTGGGAGTCTGTTCCTAGTCTCCTGCCAGTGTTCCTCAACTTGTGGGTGTAATCACTCCAGTTCCAGTCTTCATACTGCTTTCTCCTCCGGGTACATGCTACCTTCACTTTGCCTGTGTCAAATTTCTCTCTGTTCCTCATGTAATAAAATATGATGGCATTTCTAGGGTTCATCCTTGTTATTGTATTGCTTATAGGAATACCTGAGGCTGGTAAATTTAAGAGAAAAAGGTTTGTTTCACTCATGGTTCTGGCCATGTGGAAGGTTCAAAGGAATGCAAAATGGCAACAGGCAGGATCTTCTGCAGAGCAGCTGTTCATAAGTTTCTGCCTGTTGTGGTCTCTTTTCTTCTCTTACAAACAAACATATCAGAATTCGATTATGGGGGCCTGATCTAATGATCTTATCATATCCAAAGACCCCACTCTAAGACACCATGAATATAACCAAGTCCCAGCACATGAATTTTAGATGGGACATCTAAACTATAGGAGGACCCAAATTGGTAATCTGCTATAATCTATCTCAAAATCCTAAGTTAATTACATCCTCAAATATCCTTCTCCAAAATAATATATAACATTGCAGGTTTTAGTAATTAGCACAGGGATATCTTTCAGGGAGCCATTTTTAGTTTACTATATACCTTTTGCAAATTAAACTGCAAATGCTGAAACTACTTTTCTGATAACTGTGCTAAATGTACCATTGCCAGATTTAAAATACTAAAATAACGACATTCATATCAAGTCTGGTGAAGTATAAGGGAACTTAAAAAGCTTGTAAAAAATGGAATTAAAGTATGAGTTTATTTTGGCACAAACTTTTTTTTGCATAGCTTTTTTATAACATGCACTTTTCATGAAGTTTTTGAAGACCTTGCCTATGTTATTCTTACCTGACACCAAGAAGGCTATAAAAGCAATGAAACAGGTTGGTTCTGTTCTTTTTATCATTCAAGACAAAGTCGTGTACCTTTCCAAAGGGAGCAGTAGCCCTGTTCTCACCTCAGATGGTTGGCAAAGTAAATGTATTTGCTTATACTTTGAAAGAATTTTCCTTCTTCAGGTTCTTATATAGTTCTTTATTTTAAAAAAAATATGATTTTGCCATAGGGCATGTGTGCTCGCTGGAGAGAGATGACAGGAAGACAGT